AGAAACCTTGGGAGGAACCAAGGCTCACATGGGGGGACCCATCCTCCTCTGGTCAAACTACGTACAAAATTATTATTCTACTAATATTAATAGTAATAGTAGTAATAGTTAGGAGACTTCAGTGTAGAGTGGGCAGCCAGTCCAAGGCAGGTGGCGGTGACTGGGCTGTGGGTAACTGGTCTGAAGCGGGTAGCCGGAGAGCTCTACAAACAATCATCCAGCAGTGTCCGGCCGGACAGGTGGGCAGTCGTTTTCTCGGAAGAAAGGTAGGGAAATGGAGTTAGTTTAGTTCTGTATGGGTGTATGTATAGTAGTATGTAAAACATTTCCAGTGTGGCTAATGACTCCGGCAGATCTGACTATAACAGCTTAACTAAAAGGAGAGAACCAAAAGGGCACACAGACACGGGAGCACCCTGAAACAATCTGGCATTCCCTCCGCTCCACCGTCCACAAACCTGAGTGTTCGCGTGTGAGCGGTGGGACGACAGCACCAGTCTCAGTTTACTATAATTCCCTGCGTCCATGGACCCCTGGATCTGCTGCCTTTATCCAAGGGGAAACATTAGCTACCAAAAGCTAAACTAAACAAATGAGTTTTCAGCCTAGATTTGAATATTGCGACTGAGTCTGAGTCCCGAACATTTTCTGGAAGATCATTCCAGAGTTTGGGGGCTTTATAAGAAAAGGCTCTTCCCCCAGATGAAACCTTCTGAATTCTGGGAACTATTAAAAAGCCAGCACTCTGTGATCTGAGTAATCGTGGTGGCTTGTAAAGGGAAATAAGGTCTTGCAGGTACTCAGGAGCGAGCCCATGTAGGGCTTTATACGTCAATAAAAGAATTTTGTAATCTATACGGAATTTAACAGGCAGCCAATGGAGTGATGATAGAACTGGACTGATATGATCAAATGTTCTAGTTTTAGTGAGAACCCTGGCTGCAGCATTTTGTACTAGTTGAAGTTTACTTAAATTCCTGCTGGTGCATCCTGACAGTAGTGCGTTACAGTAGTCTAGCCTTGAGGTAATAAAGGCATGTACTAATGTTTCTGCATCGTGCAGCGATAAGGCATTTCTTATTCTGGCGATATTGCGAAGATGTACAAAAGCTGTCCTAGTGATGCTGCCTATGTGTTGATTGAATGATAAATCTGGATCGAGTATTACACCAAGATTTTTTGCTGCTGAACCTGGTATAACTGGAAAGTCAGCGAGATTTAAAGTTAAATCTGATAATTTATTTCTTGCCACTTTCGGACCCAGAAGGAGAACCTCTGTTTTGTTACTGTTAAGGAGGAGGAAGTTACGCGACATCCAACCCTTCACATCTTTTACACAGTCCTCTATTTTCTTTAACCTGTATTTGTCATCAGGCTTGGCTGATATGTATAGTTGCGTATCGTCTGCGTAACAGTGAAAGTTAATGCCATGGTTACTTATAACTGTGCCTAACGGTAACATGTAAATAATAATGGTCCTAAAATAGAGCCTTGCGGAATTCCAGATCTTACTTGTGAATAATTGGAAGATAAGTCATTTACCTTTACGAACTGATAACGTTCTGTTAAGTAAGAGTTGAACCACGATAGGGCTTTCCCTGTGATTCCAACCATGTTTTCTAACCTTTCTAGAAGAATATTGTGGTCTATCGTATCGAAAGCTGCGCTGAGGTCAAGTAGCACTAACAGGGATATGTAGCCTTGATCAGAGGCAAGAAGAAGATCATTTGTTATCTTAACTAGAGCTGTCTCAGTACTGTGATGTGGCCTGAATCCAGATTGGAATTTCTCAAATATGTTGAACAGTGTTAAATAATCTCCACAGAAAAGCATTACCAATAGAACTGGATGGGAATGATACATGAACCCAAGGTCATCATACCCAATGCCAAGTGTCAGATGTCTGTCTCCAACTTTATATATAGGAACAACTTTTGCTGTTTTCATTTTGCTGGGAAACATACCTGTTTGGAAAGATTGACTGCAGACATGTGTAAATGGTTTCATTATGCATCCTATAATCATTTTTACTAACGAAATATCAATTTCAGTCCAGTCAGTGGATTTTTTTTTATTGTTTTTTAACAATATCAAGTATTTCCTTTTCATCAACACCCCTAATACAGATGGAGTAGGAGTTTGTATGAACAATATCTTCATCTGCACCATCCTCCTTTCTTGGCTCCACAATCTCTTTCACTATATAATATCCAACATTTCCAAAATAATCAATTAATTCTTTGGCAATTACTTTTTTTATTATTGTATTGTTATCTTTTGTAAAATAAAAGTTTGAACACAACACATAAAACATGTGAACGATCATCTTGTCGGGCTATGAGGTTTGGTTTATGGAGTAGTTTGCAACCTAAAGTCCAGCAAGTCTAATGAAAATTGACAAAAACTAAAGTTCTGGCCATGGCTGTAAAAATATTTGTAAATCTGTGAATGCAATGTTTTCTTGTTGAATTGAACTTACAGTTCAAACAGCTTGTGGATTTGTGTTAAAGCTATCATATAGTCAGTGACCTTGTCATCTTTTGCATCCAAAAGATCTGCTGCTTTCAAAGCCTCTATTCGAAAGAGAAAGATTTTACGAAGCTGTGGTTCTTGAGAAGAACTGTTGAAGCACCAAAGCTTCAAAGCTTTCAGCAGTGAAAACATTACCCTCTTTTACTCTCCAATAAAAGACGCTGGTGCTGTAGTAGAAACGACGGTCCTAAAACTCCTAAGTATCCTTTTGATAGCTGTGATGTGCCACATTGTACAGAATAAGATGCTGCAGCTGCTTGTCAAAGTACTTCAGATGCTGGAGGGATTAAATGGCCCATCAATACCTTCTACAGAGAAGGAGGAATGGCCGACTGTCTTTATCAGCTATGAAACAGAGGAGAATAGAGAGAGAGAAGAGGCAGCTGACTTAATTCTTGCCAAGGACAATCGGCATTAAGCTCACTGAAGACGTTCTTTCTGCTAATCACCCTCTCTTTGTCACTCCAAGAAGAGATGTTGATTGTTTCATGAAGCCTCTTTGAAATGCTTAAGACAGAAGCTCTCAGTCTGTGGACGGTATTAAATCTGTTCTTCTGGACAGTCTGTGCTGCCCTCTAGTGTACTAAGTATGACAAAACAGTGAAATTGGAAAGTATTATGCATAGATTTATACATATCGCCGCTGTCGGAAACAAACCTTATATGTCCATTTTTGTTGTTTTCCAGTTTTTGATGTAATTTGAAAATGCCTGTTGCCCTTTATATTGTGTTGGAATTTCATGATGAATGGACCAACAGAAATGGCCCAAAATTACTACGAAAAAAATCTGTTTTTGTCGAGGTTTTTGCACCGACAGCAGTGATATGTAATGTAAAAAGTTCACCTAGTACTGCATATTTGATTGCTTGTTATATATATATATGTGATGTATAAAGACAGACATCAGGATAAATGTCCTCCAACTCTCCTAACTCTAGGTACACGCAGTCATGATCACTGGTGGACCTTTCATATATATATATATATATATATATATATATATATATATATATATATATATATACATATGGCATTTGCCAGCTGCAGTGCTGAGGAAGAAATGCACTGCACACTTCTGTGGTTCTTCTGCTTTTACAAGTATTTCTGTTGCAGTTCTATTAGTCATTTCATTCTGAAATTTTCATACAACATAAATCATAAAGGGCAGCTGGCATTTTCAAATTTTATTACAAAAATATAAAATGACAAAAATTAAGATACAAAGTTTTGTTCCGACAGTGACAATACACCAATCAGGCATAACATTATGACCACCTCCTTGTTTCTACGCTCATTATCCACTTTATCAGCTCCACTTACTATATAGGTGCACTTTGTAGTTCTACAGGTACAGACTGTAGTCCATCTGTTTCTCTGCATACTTTGACCCCCATGGACCCTCACAGGCAGGTACTATTTGGGTGGTGGATCATTCTTAGCACTGCAGTAACACTGACGTGGTGGTGTGTTAGTGTGTGTTGTGCTGGTCTGAGCGGATCAGACACAGCAGTGCTGGTGGAGTCAGGCCCGTGACACAGTCCTATTTGGCCCATGAAAATATTTTAATTTTCTATTCTTATTAGCCCATTTCACCCTGAGACGCACTACAGTCCCCAGCATGCACAGCAACACAGTGTGTGTTCTGACCCCCTTTCCCCAAAAACAATCCATGGTCCAGCAGTTACACAAAAAGAAAAGATGCTGGGTGTCTAGTTCAAGCAAATAGCAGTTTAAAAATACCTAAAACAATTTACTTTTATTTAGAATTGAGTAAATAAGTATTTAATGCCTATTTTACTGTTGCAGTTTTGTCATATTTTAAATAAACAATGGCCAGTTTGGATTATGGCAAAATGTTAAGCAAAAATGGAATATGGCCCTTTTAGTGGTTGAGTTTGACACCCCTGTTCTAAAGCAAAGTTGTCCAAGCTTATCCGCAAAATGTCAGTTTTGACTTCAGGCTGGAGCACACCTGATTCCAATTCTTTAAACAGTGGGTCAAACAATCGATCATGTGTCCTCCTGCTTTGGAGGAATGAGAACCTGCAGCCACACTGGGCCTTTGCAGATAAGATTAAACACTCATGGCCTAAAACATCATTTTGAACCCATTCAGGGTGGAGTGGAACGTGCAGGCTAAAGGCAAAATTATCAACATTTAAAAACTCAGAAGACACATGTTAGTTCACTGGTGGTTTTGGGTAGTAAATAAAATGGCTGTATTTATGATGTAGATCCTATCACCACCACTGTAAAGAACAACCTTACTCTGTAAGCTTCTCCACAGTGAACGGTTTCACTGAAATCACTCTGAAGGATTCTGTTTACATCTCAACCACTGAATTATGCAGAGATTTTGAAAATGTCCCCTTTAACGTATATTAAAGTCAAGATTTTTTTCTAGGTTTTGTTAAAAAGTGACAGTATTTATGCCAGATATGGGACAGTGTGACATCTGTTGGCTGTATCAGATGTATGTGTCCTCCCCCAGCTCTGGGGCGTACACTTGGTCCTCTTTCGTGTAGTCATAAGGGGGCACGCCTTTGATTTTCAGTTTCCAGGCAGTCTTACGCTGCCTCTCATTGTCTTCTGCAGTGTGTGTGGGCATGTGATGTAGCTGAGCCTGTGCTTGTATGAGTTCCTCCAGCTCTGTGTCCGTCTTCAGCTGAAAGCCTCCACGCTCTCTGAAGGGATCCAGCGGGATGTGTGCTCTCCTCGGCTTACTAGGCAGGTCAAAGTCAACATGGCGGCCTGGGTGCTTCACTATACTCCTCATGAACATCTTCTGAGGACTCTGGACGTCCTCCTCAGCGGTGGTGGTGAAGGCACCAACCTTACGCACACCACAGGCTGTCTGGGGTTGTCTGGATTTGGGTTTGGGATGGGATAGTGGCTCATGGATGCCCAGTCCAGTTTGGGGCTGGACTAGCGTTGGGGGAGGGATGCTGGAGTAAACATTTCTGGAATGCAGGGAAGGCTGGAGGTGCAGGTCCACCGTGTGGGTCCTCAGAGGGGTGTAGATTTTAACTGTACCTTTATAGCAGGATTCAGTACGGGGCTTAGGGGTCGAATGTGGCCGTTTAGGGGCTTTAGGAGGCGGAGGAGAGGGAGATGTTCTGGTTTGGGGCTCTAAACCAGTCGGAGACGGACCCCAGGCGTCCCGCACCGCAGCATTCAGCCTCATATTGGACATGGCCAGGTCGCAGCTGTGAGGCTGCTGAGTGGGATGGACCTTTAAAAGCATCTGTGGAGCGGTCATTGGACGATGGACGCCTCTCTTTTTCACATGCTCTCGGACTGCTCTCTCGCTGGGGTGTCATCACATACTTTTCATACAGCTTTTCTGAAAAATTCAGTGTGGCAAATTTATCTGTTGATGATTCTTTGTTTCACTGAGTGCTAATGTGACTAACAGAGAATGCATGATCTCATTTGCAAAATGCTAACTGGCCTTCGTTTAGTTTTAGCAATGTTAATCTTTATGGATTAATAAGGTTAGCCAGCTTAAAGGGAAGATATTTCTAGATTATCAAAACATAATCATATAAGCAAAGTCATTTAGACTGTTTTAATGTGAAATGTGCCATTTCTGGAGCGACTTACAATCAGAATTGGTGATGATATGAACTAGATGTCAGGAATGTTTAATGCCAGAACAGAGCTATTACATGAAATGGATATGAGTACATTGCCTGATACCAGAGACATTATTTCATCATAGTTTTGAGAAGATTTTGGTCTAAAACATATTTTTAAACACACAGATGGTGGGCGGGAGGTACATGCAGGGTGTTGTAAGACAAAACAGTCCCCAAAGATAACTTCAGACTTACCACTATTTTACCATGATCATCACAAATGTAAGGTCTCAGTAAATAAAATGGCTATAGTTATATGGCTATATGTTTGCTGTAGCCATCTCAACTCCTGGTACCTATCACCACCACTGTAAAGAAATCTGAGATCTCTAGCTTTTCTACAATGCACTATTTCACATCAAACCGGGCTAAATGACTCTGATTACATCCTAATGATTGGACTACACAAAAATTCTGTAAAGTAGTTTATATATTATTTATAATATAAATAATAATATATTTTTATAATATGGAAAATGTTTATTAAAAGGCAATTTACATGCACAAAACTGTTACATACTTTTTTTTTATTTTGGCCTAAAAAATATTTTTAAACACACAGATGGTGGGGGGTATATCCGATCACCAACACTGTAAAGAAATCTGAGATCTCTGGCTTTTCCACAATGCACCATTTCACATCATATCACTCTAAAATGACTCTGATTACATCTTAATGATTGGACCGCTCGGAAAAATTCTGTAAATAAGGTCATATATTTTATATATATATATATATATATTAAATATAATATTTTCATAATGTATAAAAGGTAATGGCTCGGCAAAAAACATAAATAATATTTAATATTTCTATGCACAAAAGGTTGTATACTATTTTTATATTTTACATTTTACATTTCCCATTTTTCTGTTTCAAATGTATAATATTAAAATGTACACCAAACAGAAGTACAGACAAAAAAAATCAGGCTTCAAAATGCTGTTACTACTGTTTTTATTTATGTGGTGTACTTTTGTTCTTTGGTGTACGTTTGTATAGCTAACAGTTTGACATACAGTATCGGAAACCAGAAAAGCAAGCATATTTGAGATTACATACCAACTGTTTAAAGCAAGCATGTGATAATTTACCCATGCAGTTTGCACAAATCTGATTGAAAGGTATAAGCTACCATTACCTGTTAATTTAATTAGCCTTGTAGCTCCAGTACAGCAATTAAGAAGCAAACTTCAGACACCAAACATGTCTGGCCAGCTGAGTATTGGGGTAAGTGGGTAAACTCTACAATTGCTAAACTATTTTGTTAAATGGGGAAGCTGTGTTAGCAGCTCTGTTACCTGAGCCAGTGGCAGTGCTCCTGGGTGTTTGGGTGTCCCGGCTGTGTCCACTGATGGGTCTGCTGGGAGACAGGCCGGAGGTCTGCTGGTCATGCCGTTCATTCCACGTGGCCGGATGCATGGACTGGGCAGCTAAGGGGACCCAGAAGCAAAGTATAATAACCATGCTAAGTTTAATACCAGCTCTATATATCAGCTTCATAGAGCAACAAAGAAACCTGGGTCACATAAAACAATACAGTAAAAACAAATAGGTCAGTACACACCGTGTGCCTGTTGCGTGGGGGGTGCTGAGAGACTCCTGGTGTGGTGGGAAAAGACTCGTGCTCTGGCTCTCCCGTCCCGTTTGCAGGTCTTTGGTTTGGATGAGGCTGACAGAGCCTTGCGTTCAGCAATGCCATTAAGAGGAAGATGGAGAGCAGACCTCCGCTCAGACTGAGCAGAGTAGTCCCAGCGCTCCTGAGAAAACCGCAGCAGCAACACACGACTGCTGCTGTTCACCAAGATACTGAGAGAGGGAGAACAGGGCTTTTAAATAACTACAGACCTATTAACTGACTTAACAGTCATGTGATGCCAGCTAATACTCCACCATTCAAAAGTTGGAATCACTTATTACAATTTTATAATAGTGTTAATAATTTTTATTACTTTATGTTCTAACTTTTTATTCTTTCTTCTTTATAACGTTACTATTCATGCTATATAACCCTCTCTTTTTAGACTAATCAACAGATCTGTTCATCATTCTGGACACAATTTTTTTTATGGTTATTTGAAACCTCTGATGTTGCTAACGAGTAGCATATTAGAGCCATTTTATACATTTATCTTCAAACAAACTGATTTCATTTAAAACACGTATTCAAAATCTTTTAAATAATACTGTATGTTTAATTGTTATAGTTTGTCTGACCAAATGTTTGTGTTTCTGTGTGTACAGGTGAAACTAACTTGTTGCTGTGTGCGTGTAGAGAGAGTATGGGGCTCTGGTTGGTGCTGATTTTGATGACTCGAAGGCAGTCCCCAGTCAGGAAGTTAAAGATCCGGATCTTTCCATCTGCACAACCGGTGATGACCCGCAGGAAGAGGAATGACAGGGTTAGCACTTCCCTACAGGAACACAGAGTGACCACAGAATCAGTGCAGAATGGTCAGTGGATATTTGTTTTCAGGCAGCAAGTTGAAAAACCATCAGAGTATGAGCAAATACCATTTGTGATTTAAAAAATCAGTGTAACCTGTTTAAAAAACAGTTAAAATCGTAATTCTATTTTATTCTAAATAGTTCTCTAGACTCAAACTGCTAAACTATCAAGTGAAACTCACTTGATTCTTAATAGTGTCATGGTCAGGGTTAGAAACATGGGTTTGCTTTAGGATCATGTTCTGTGTTGATGTAGGACATTCAAGACCTATTATTCTGTAACTACTGTGAATAATTCAGTAACTACTATAAGACTAATAGGTAAGTCATATCATTCTGGGAGACCATATACAGGTTATTAGACTTTGAGAGGTTAACAGATTTTGGTGAATGTATCTACTTAAATGGACCACCCAAATGAGTTTTACCACAACCTGTTTCTGTCCAGCGCAATTGCAGTGCTCACTTTGGGTGGTGGAAGGTCATGAGGCTCTTTGTAAAGTCAGCGTTGGTGCTCCAGGCCAGGACCTGCCCGTCTGACCCTCCAGACAGGATATGCCACTGGTCAAAGAACAGACACTTCACACAGCCCTGGTGACCATCTACAACCTACAGAGAGACATGAACATGCCCAGTGAATGTGCTCAAACCCTACCTGTAATGTGTAAAAAATTAAGGGAATATTTTTTAACAGAGGTTTGAAATTCATGGCCCAAAATGAAGGCCTAGTTCTGTGACAGTTCATAACTGTATTTATAGTATATCATCAGCCTGCACATGAAAAACCCGGCCACATTTAGGACTTCAGGATATGGATAAAAGGCCTCATATCTTAACTACCAATATTCTTAGGAACTGACAGTGGAATCAACAAACTTTCATTTTCAATATTTGGGACCAATTTCATGTGGAAAAAAAAAACTTCTGGAACTCGTAGATTGGGGTATAACTGGTAGTCTAACAAGGTTTCTGTCATTAAAAATCAAAAGCAGTGGCAGCAGGTCTATGGCAGGACTCTTTATTGAAAAAAAATCTATTTCAAAAGCTTTAAATGTCTGTGTTAATCTAAAACAGGCAAAATATTAAAGAGCACCAGCATTAGTTTGTGTTAATAATTTGTGCTAACAAACTATCAGAAATCCCACAAGGGCACTTGCAGAAATTAGGAAGTGTTTTTGATGGAGTTTTGACATTTACAGCCTGAACAGACGGCCTTGCTCTAATAGTCATGGTTTGCCAATGTATTTATTGCATATATAACCTGCAGATAAAGACTGCTGTGTTAATCGATCAAAACACTTTTAGCTATAGGCTTCTGAAGCCATGCTCATATTAGGAACTCCAGGTCCTGAGCTGGTTTTCTCTATAAGAAAGAAATGAATGGGATTTTTGAAAAGAAAAGTAAAAAGGTTTCCAACACGATACGTTTTGTCCTACACACATTTTCCCACTGAAAGTCACTGGATGCTTGGAATTATAAGGTTATGAAGGTGCTGAAATATGAACATTGCTACATCCATGCTGACAGCAAGTTACCACTCCTGTGCATTGAAATGACTTTGCATGAAATTAAGTCTACTGTTAAACTTCAATTCGTAACACCAGCTACTCCAAATTTACTCTATTACAGCCAAAGCAACTGCACTACCACAGTTACCAAATCTTGGTGGTTGATTTGAGGTATTTTTGTGTAGTTGCTGGTCTTATGATGTCAGTTCAGCGTGCAGCAGTGTTAGCTTGCATGCTGCAATGTTCATATTTTGGCTCCTTAACAACCTCATAATTCAGAGGATCCAGTGAAAATGTATGTAGGACAAAATGTATCAGGTTTGGAACTATTTTATCAACTATGATAGCATCGACTGTCAAAAATCTCATTATTTTTTGTCATAGAGAAAACCAGCTTAGACCTGGAGTTTCTAAAATAAGAAATACAAAACGATGAAATGTCTTCAGCGGTCCATTTCATTTCTAATCTACATTCACGTACATGCTATTGTGTGTTACCACTGGTTATATTCATCTCTTGATGTTTGTGCTTGTACCTTCAGTAGAGCTGCTTTCTCCATCTCCCACATCTTTACCTGGCCTCCCTCACAGCCACTGAGCACCAGAGATGCACTGATCTTCACACACACTACAGGTTTACGGTGCCTAAACTTCAGCCTCTCACAACACTGACCAGTCTGCAGGTTCCACACTGAAAGAGCACAACACATTGCAAAAAAACAAGACTTCTCTGACCACAAGTTTTCAAACTTTCAAAAAAGTTCATCAAAATCTTAAAATGGTTCTGTTTTTAAAATTGAAGGTTGAAAAGAAATCCAGTACTTCAGCATTTAAGTGATACACACTTCCAACTTTCTGCTTACCCCAACTACAATGAATCAGCCAAGACGTGTTCAGTGCCTGAAGTTTGCTTCTTTAGTTTTGTACCATTTCTACGATGGTGATGTACCAACTGATGGAAGCTTTTTACCACAACAATTAGCATCGTTCATGTCTGAATCATCACACACTTAAATCAAACCAGCCAATTTGCTATATTATCTCCAGTAGATTTGCTTATGTGGTTTGTGATACTCAATGACATACTATTATCTATAAAAATAGCCTAAGATATGGATAATATTCAAGATGTCAAGATGACAGTCACTACTCTTTACAGCAATGTACCTTTTTAACTATTTTATATGCTTACATTACATGTCATCCTTACAAACATGCATTACTTATTAGCATCTGTGCAAAACAACAGAAGCAAATTTCGAACACTGAACACATCTTGGCTGGTCAGCTACACAGTAACATTGTGTAAATATGATTTTTATATTTATATTCATATATATTTTATATTTATTTTTATATTTATTATTATTATATTTATTTTATATCAACCAAACTACCAGAAAATTCTTAATTAGAACTTCACCTTTGACTCTGCAGTCTCTGGCCCCAGAAACTAGAAGATTTGCATGCAGGTCCAAACAGTTGATGGTACCCATGTGCCCCCATAGCAGCAAGGTACATGCTCCTGTCTTCAGGCTCCAGCACCTTCAACCAAGAGAGTAAAATTTGTTTTTATTAGTTTATGTGTGCTGCGTGTTACGGTCATAGTGACTTCTCTGTGTGTGTGTCTGTGGCCATTTTGTGTTTTTTCCTTCTTGTTACATTACATGCAGGTCCGTGATTGGCCACGAGGCGCCTTCCTGTATATAACTGGCCACTGCCTGGGTGATGTTCACGGCTCTCTCCCCTCTACCACGAGTTACACCTGTCCAGATCAGCCTGGCACTCTCCATTCCACTCTTAGCTTCACTTTGATTATTTATTGTGAAATCCTTATTAGATTCTGTGAAACCCTGTCAATTTCTTTGGGAAGTAGAGGACGAATGCCTTTTGTTTTAGCTACCTTTTCTCATTTACTGAGGGCAGCTCTTATATTTTTAGTTGTTTATGTTTTTGTTTTCAAGGTTTGGTTAGTTTTCAAAACCTGTATTTGCTTTGCTTATTATTTTAGATGTATGCTCATCCCCAAAGCTACATGTCCAGACAGCAGTTAACAACTTAAATAAAGCTGTTCTGGTTTCCTGGTTATAACAGTCTGGTGTTTGGTAGGTCAGCAGGTCAGGGGAGAGAGCCCACTCTCATTTTCTGTTATGGTCTGACCCTAGATCGGGTCGTAATACTAGTTGAAACCTAATAACTGACCTGAGCAAGAGAATGTTTTGCGAAACATAAGGAAATCTGCATATTATCGCTGGTCATATCAAAAGTATATTGAAATTTTTTATATTTTTTTATTCTCGTAGTCATGTACTCATAGCTCACTGAAACAAGAGGAGAAACATACAGATTATAAACCTTAAATCGATGACACATTCATGTTTGTAAGTAGAAAAGAAGATATTTTATTATGATTAAAGCTAGGGCTGAACAATTTGGGGATTTGTCTATTATGACTATGATTTAAATTGCCACTATTTTCCACAAATTAAAGTTCAGGCCTGTTTATGGCCAAAAAGACCAGCATAATTTTTTTTTTTTAAAACCATGGAGAACACATGCTGAACGTGGTGTGCCAGTTTGTTAAGGTTGTGATGTCACACCACATGGGGGAGCTTCTCATTGGTCTAGCTCATTCATAGAAAGTCCACATGCTCTGTGTTTCTAGGTTAAATTTCTCCACCTAAAACTTAAAGTAACATTGTTGATAAAGTGGGCTATATTGCACTCTTTCAAATTGCGATTTTGAAATAAACTGATTAATCTTTCAGCTCTGATCAGAATGTCGCAACCAAGAGCTCTCTCTTTTTGCCCAGGGTCTGGACATTTATAAGTAACTCTTATAGTATCTACACTATTGCCCTAATAACTATCTGTAATCTATTGTGTTCAAAAAGAATTAAAAGAATCAAAGAAACAAAATTGAAAAAGGATAAAAAGGAATGCAAAAAGACTTCAGCTGCTGAGTTCTTGTGGAATGAAGGAAAAGGCCTTCGCTTAATTGAGCATCAAATGGCAAGATGGTTCCCGGTCAACCGTTATTCCCCTCTGGGGCGATGAGGTAATCTCCCCACCCCATTTACACAAGTCCATACCATTTTAATCCCCATCATATCCAAACCTTACACCTTGTTTGGTAACCTTTAAACCTAAATGCACATGATGTCTTTTTTTAAAAACCCACTCTGGTCTGACTCTTACCAGATTGTTCTCTCCCTACAGGGCCCTCTTGCGCAACTCTCCATAGGGCGTCTCACACAGCCCTCCATATACGTACAAGAGTGAACCTCAGCTATAACTTAAACTGTCATCTGGCACAGCTCCCTTCTGTGGGCCCAGAAACTCTTTCCCTGTTAGAGAGTCTGCTGCACAGAGTCCATAGTCTGCTTCCCTATATTACCTTATTAGGAGGGCTCTCTAGTCAGCCAATGATTAGTTTATTGATTACTAATCAGTAATATTTTATTCAATGTTTCCCATCAAGAACCTCATAAAAAAGGCTAGTAAAGAGTCTTACACGGTACAAATCTAACCTGATGCTGAGGTCATAGCTGGCGCTGATGACCAAATCCCTCTCCTCACAGACCAGGACGGCTCGGACGCTGCCCGCATGGCCCTGCATCCGCAGTGGGACTTCTTTCAGCAGCGAGACATCCAGCAGGTGTACCATGCGGTCCTTTGAGCCCACTGCCACCATATGGCCTCCACTGTAATGGATCACTCTGCTGGGGTCCTCTCTGTAGAGCACAGAGGAACACAGAGAAACACTACCACTCACGTTTATCCTTTCAGAGTAAAATGATCTAGGATCCGTTCATAGGATCTGTTCATCAGGACAGGACTAGCCCTGAGGCTACTAAAAGAAAGCACTGCAAAAGCATGTATTGTATGTTTTAATGACATGACAAGGACGTTGATATTCAAAAAGTTTATGTGCTACAGTACTAAGTATTTGCATTAGTTCTTAATGTAGCTTGTAGCCCTCTACTCTACCTGTCCAGCAGAACCAGGATGTTGAAGACTCCGCAGTACACATTCCGCTCTTCCATTTCCACTGCCTTGGTTTTAACACCTACATAGGCCGACTCAAAATCCCTGACATTCTGTGGTAACACACATACACAATGTTTTAGGAAGGTCAACATACACTGCATTATCAAAAGTATGCAGACACCTAATCATCACATTCATATGTGCTTGTTGAACATCTCATGGGCATTTGAAACCATGGGCATTAACATGGAGTTGACCTCTTTTTGCACCTATAAGAGCCTCCACTCTTCTGGGAATGCCTGGCTTGCAGTCGGCATTCCAGGTGCTGGGTGCTGGATGGGGTTGAGGCCTGGGCTCAAGTCAAGTTGTTCCACATCAAATTAAGGGCATTTTCCAAAGCTCCAGAGTCCAAGGTATGCTTCACACCTCTCCAGATAGAGCTGAACAATTTCGGAAAATATCTAATTGCAAATCACAGTGACTGCAATTTAAATTACAATTATTTTCTCCAGGCCTGTTTTTATTTTAAAGACCACCTATAATATCCACCTTTTCTGGCTTAAAGCTATTTATGTAGGCTATAATTAAAAATGTAGTTCTTGCAAATTTGAAAATTGCACATTTTCAAACTGCAGTCACCATGGAAACCCATTTCAAGCATCTCCAGACAAACAGTTCTTGCTCTGATATTTTACAGGCTGTGTGCTTCAGCACTCAGCAGTTCAGTGAGCTTGTGTGGCCTACTGCCTTCCCAGCTGAGCAGCTGTTCCTTCTAAATGTTTTCGCTTTAGAATAAAAAAACACTTACGGTTGACCAAGGCAGCTCTCACAGGGCAGAAATTTGATTAACAGACTTGGAAAAGTGGCATCCTATAAATGTCACTGAGCTCTTCAGTGCGATCAATTCTGTTACCGATGTTTGTGGAGGTTGCCTGGCAGTATGCTTGATTTTACGCACCTGTTAGCAGTAAGTGTGACTGAAATGTCCCAACACTCTCTCACTCCAACCAAAGTTACATTTATACTTACAAACCAGTGATTCTGATCTGATATAGTAATCGATGTGAAAGAAAATTTCAATGGGTTATTACCTTACTTTTAGGGGAAATCGCCAGAGGTTGGATATACATCTCTTCTTCTCTGAGGGGCACTAGGACCTCACGGATCCTGGCATAAACAGGATTGACTCCAAGGGAAGAGCTGCCCTGTGGAATGAACACAGAATATCATCAATAGATTCAGCAATAGAGAGTTTATTATTGGCCACAATAAAATGATTCTGCTAGTTTCAATGTAAAAATATTATTGCCTTCATTTTAATTCTGAATCATCCGAAAATGAGTGAATCACGATGAAATCTGAGACTTAATAATCCAGTGATTTTTCAATTTTTTAAAGAATCAAAGATTCGTTGTGATGTCAGACATTTACACAAATGACTTTAAATTAATGTAATACAGTCTAGAAAATGCTTATTTGGACAAAAGGACTTGAAACAGTCAGAATGAAAATAATAAAGCGTGAAATAAACATTCTCAAACCACAACATACAAAGACTTTATTATTCAGTAATGTTAATGGAAAACAACTTCAGATGAGTCATTATGAAGTCGTAAGAGCGAGTGATAGAAGTCTGTGAATGTTAAGATTAATGTATTCATTTCTGTCTGAGTATGAAATGTATAAAGCAGCATCACCTGCAAAACCATTGCCTGGTTTTCCACCATTTTCTTCACTTCATTCTCTCTTAGGATTTCCTCTGTTAAGTAGCGCCAGTGCTGAGACACGAGTTTACAGTGCTGAAGAGTGGCTGTGTCCAGCAGACCTGAGAGAGACAGCATAAACATTTACACTGACCACTACCCTACATGTTTATAAACAAACAACATATAAAGAGCTCTGCTGTCATGGGGAAACAGTCCACTCTTAGAATATAGTTACCTTTGTGATGACATAATACCATTACACTTATATGTACACAGACTGTTCTCTACTGTATGCTGTTTTTATTTAAGACACAAGGCTATCTATCTGTCTGTCTGTCTGTCTGTCTATAGATACATCTTATTTCACACTAAATCATTTAATACTTCAACCTTTCTATCACCTATTTTCCAAATATATCACACTATCAGCATTAATAAAGTTAATATGTTTGCAATAAAAAAGGTACTGAAGCCATATTTCCTGAGGGCTGGTACTCTATGCTATGAGTACGTCTTACAAACATGATATAACTTCTCTTGATTGGACTATTTTGTTCTGTTTCTCTCTTTTCTCTCTCTCTTATACATACATACATCATCTAAACCGCTTATCCTTCTGGGTCGCGGTGGGGTGCTGGAGCCTATCCCAGCTGTCATTGGGCGGAAGGCAGGATACACCCTGGACAGGTCGCCAGTCCATCGCAGTCTCTCTCTTATAATTACTTCAAATTAATCAGTCATCATCATTAATCCGAAAGAGAAGGTACATTTCCAGAAAGGAAACATTTCTTTAATTGTTATGATTGTTAAACTGCTCTTTTGAAATTGCCTGAGGCACAAATGACGTACAGTCACACACAAACGTTTGTGTGCTCTTAGGCATGTTTTGTTGGTATAGTCGGCATAGTTGGTGTAGTGTAGTGAGTAACTCCTCTGTCTTCTATGCTGTAGACTGAGATTCAATCCCCCCGTCTGGGCAAGCACCCTACACTATACCAATAAGAGTCCTTGGGCAAGACTCCTAACACTACCTTCACCTACCTGTGTAAAATGATCAAACTGTAAGTTGCTCTGGATAAGAGCGCCTGCCAAGTGCCGTAAATGTTGATTTTATAAGTGAAAATAAGTTAATCCTCTAGAGAGAACACACTTCTGCACCTTTTAATGCACAACTACTATTTGGGGAATTTTATAATATTGGGGGGGGGGGATAAAACATAACATGTGGCCTGTGCAAAGGTATGCCACATCTCGTATTTTTTCCTTTTTTCCAATATGTAAAACTCTGAAATTGTGCACTAAAAATTGCAGAAAAAAATCTGAGAAATTTCACTTAGAAAATCAACAAAACACATTATTTGACCTGGGCTGGGGTGTTCAAACTTTTGCATATGAAAGTGCAGCGCAGTTCACCACTCTCTAAAAACAGATGTGTTAAAAACAACACATTCGGTCTCAGTGAGAGACAACACATTTTTAGTTACTTCTAAAACAAAGTGTGTTGAAATATTTCTGTGCCCACTGACGAATAACACCTTGTGTTACTTTTAACAGAGTGTTAAATAAGATAACAATACAACACAAAAAGTGTTAAAATGGGTAACACAGGTAAGTGTGTTGTTATGTAAGACATCCCTTTTTAGAGTGTGCAAAGTGCAGAAAAGAGAATTTAAAAGCTAAAAACAAACTGCTTGGCAATGAACAGCACTATTTTATGTATCACGGATATAATTCAATTAATATATTACTAAAAATATTGTTAAAACTGAAAAGTAGTAAAACAGTATATCAATATCAGAGTATACTGGTATAGATTATATATCGACCAGCCCTACTGAACAGTGTGAAAGAAGCACTCTGCCACTCATGTAAATGAAACTTATAAATAGTTTTCTGGCCACATTATGGAATTAAATCTGTCCTCTCACCTAAAATCCTCTTGGCGATATCGACTGGAAGCCTTCGAATGAAGTCTCGGTGGAGGCTGACCCCTGACATGGATTTGGAAGACCGGGGGACCACCATGAGGGCAGGATCCTCGGAGCTGTCCGAGTGTGTATCACTGTCTTTTCCCCTCCGACCTCTGAAAGTTACCTCCTCCAGCTCACTCCAGATTGCATTCTTTGCTGTGAAACAACTTGTGCAGTGAGTGACGTATGTGCAGTTGTGCATGTGCCATTCTAAAATGGCGCAAGATGAAAAGACCAAAGACACATATTGTCATTATAATATTAACCTCATCTCAAAAATGGTACACATCTCTTAATTAATCATAAAAATCTAAGTAATTTTGGAGCCTTTTTTGGACCAATATTGATGTGATGTAAAGAGCAGCTGCCATTCTAAATATATATATATATATATACACACACAAAAGAGTGTGACAACACTGTCTGTTAAAGTGTGTAAACACTGTTAAAATTTCAAAATGTACCATTCACTCCACAGTCCATTCAGTCCATATATGGAAACAAAGGTGCACAAACTGATCATTTTGAAGTTTTTGTGATATTACAAAAAACCAACATATTTACCTATATTCACTTATTCAGACTAAAGCAGTTTAGCTCCACCCATTCATGCTGCAGTTATAAAGAGTGTTTCAGCCCAGACTGCTTTTCGACTGAGGCACAACACAGAGCAACCAATCAGAACAAAGATCATTTACGTATCAGTCTTAAAGTCACAGTAACAAAAACAGCTTGTTTAATTGTGAGTGATAAAGAGCTTGGAAACTACATAAAACCTGACAAATTTATAAATGGCTCTCAGGAGAAAACAGTAAAATATATGAAAAATGTAGGACACGGGTCCAAAGTTTTACATCTTTGGATAATGTCAGACGTTTAGCCTCACAGACAAGGTAAAAAACATACTTACTGGGTTCTGATCTGTGCAGAATCTCAGCTGCACAGTTATCCTGGGTTTCATGAGGGAAGCACTCATAGACAGGCTTGTAGGTGGAGCTAGCCTGGATGAGAAGATCCAGCTCTGGATGATCACCAGAATGGAAGGAGTAATGTGATTCTGACAGAGAGCTGCAGTCGTCATCCATGCCAGCTGTGAAAATATTTTAGCACTGGATTTATACTGGAGTTTCTGTATAGAAGACAAGTGAGTAAATATAGTGCCCTCTACATATACTGGCACTTTTAGTAAACAAAATGGGCCGTAAAAGAATTCTTGTTTTCTCCTCCCCATGTCAGGTGAACTATCAGTGGTTCTCACACTACTACAGGTGTGGTTATGTTAGGTAGGGCTCTAAAGCAGAGGGAAGTTTTTTTAAGGTTATAACATTGCATGTTACAGTGACCTCAATATGTAAAATGTTGATACTTCTCATGTTTTAAACAGCTAAAACAGACTGACCCCAAAGACATACTGATGTTTACAGGACACTGAAAACATATCATCATTTTAATTTTATGTTTACCCATAATAAATTAGGAAAAGTCATTGGGTCATTCTCTATTTGGAATGGAAACCATGTCATAAAGGTTGCAGGGCTCAAAAAGATGCTTAAAATATTAGACATATTACACAGTTGACCTAAAATTAAATAATATATTTTCCCGTATGATTTCTCTGATTTTTCTTTTTATATCCTGTTTCAAAGCCGCTCTGCATCTGTAAACCAGCTCGTCGCAAAACCAATTTTCAACATTTGAGAAACAATTTTTAATATAAAACAAAAGTTGTAAGAGGTTTCATTTAGGAATTTGTTTAAAACAGAGTCATGTTTGCTTTTTATATCATTAATGTTAAAAAATGTGTATTTTATTCAAAAAATTGATTTGTCACAGAGATTTTGGTCACTGCTGTTATCAGGACTCTTATGTTACATTTTAACACAGTATTTTCAGCTCTATTAAACTGCTTCTTTGGGTCGAGGCTCACCAGAGAGGAAGCATCTTCAGGCATGAGAAGGAGAGTCAGACTCGCTCACTATATTTCATTAATTTATTAATAATTTTATTTATCAGGCAGCACATAACTTCTATGTGTCACTGGTGTTATGTGCTTTAATGGCTGAGTAATTAAAATTTAGTCAAAATAATGCCATATATCATTTTTATTACTGATTTTAAATAGTTGCACAAGGTCACCTGACCACCAATGAGTCTGCTGATTTACCAAATCCTCAGTTTTTACCAGAATGTCACTGGAGTCACTGTCACTGGTGTTACACCACATTCATAGAACACCAGTGACTGTAAAATATGTTTGGAATTAAGCTCTCCTTTTTGCATGGAGACGTTAATGGACACATTAAGATCGTTAAGCTTTGGGATGAAAGAAATTGATTTTTTAAAAATGCATCCACCTGAATTCACACTCCAAATGGAGAATGATCCAAATACATATGAAGCAAAAAAAATAATGTAAATGATTTATTTAGAGACATTACATACTGAATGGACTCAGACTGACCCAAAGGATAACGGGAGGGAACCATTTCATTATGCAGATTTTGGAAAATGGGTGTATTCCCCTTCAAATGCATCAAACACAACTCCTGTCCCCCTGAGATCTCCGAGATGGCCTCTTACCTGTGTTGAACTGTAGAAAACCTCGCTTCTCTCGAGCTATGAGGACACTGACTAGATTCCCCAGCATGTGCAGCAGCTCGGTGTCACACAGGGACAAGACTCCCAACAGGTAGTTCGACTTTGTCCAGTTGGGACTCTTACTGAACCACTCCCAGGTGTCCATCATGCTCATCCCACAGCCGCAGTCTCTGAACTCCTCCTGGCTGACCGCTTTAACATGAGACCTAGCGTAAGTGAAATCTTTCCCCAAAGTCACCTGAAGAACATTCTGGACCTTTTCCAGGATCTCTACGCTCCGGCATCGCACCAAGATCCCAGTGAGGAACCTCCGCTTCGCCGCCTCTCCGGCTGAGAGGAGCCACTGCGCTGACCCGGACAGGTTAGCGGTGCACACACACGACTGGCAGCGGCCGCATGTGCTGAACTCTCCGCTGCGTGTTCTGCAGCTGAGCCGCACCGCGCTGTCCGCACTCGGCTCACTGTGGTCACTCCACTCACTCCGCTCTTCAGCCCCGGACTCTCTGTCCACTCGCTGCATGTCCAGACAGCTCCTCCTTCATCCACAGTGCTGAGAGAGACTCACAGTAAGATTTCTCACTGCGTCCTCTACTCGGCACAGAGAAGCGCGTTGCCAGGCGACCACAGAGACGCAGCACAGGTTGAAGTTAGTGGAGCTGCCAGCTGCTATAGGAACCACCATACAAACCTGGGGCTGGACTAATGAAAGCTTTCTTAAGACAAACACTAAGAAGTTTATAAGAATGTTCTTAAATGCAGTTCTCGAAAAAACGTAAAAAGTTCTCACATATTTACGAAAGTCCGGAGAGGCCATGAGGTAGTTATTTTTTTGGATCGTTATCTTAAGATAACGAGTTAATTATCTTGTGATCTCAAGAAAACAAAGTTGTTATCTTGAAATATCGAACTATTTATCTTGTTATCTCAAGATAGCAAAATTGTTATCTTGAAAAAACCTAGTTATTTATCTTGTTATATCAAGATAACAAAAGTTGTTATCTTAAGATAACAAGTTACTTTATCTTGTTATCTCAAGATAACAATCCAGAAAATTATGGCAACAGCCTCTCCGTATGGAATTTCGGTGGTGGTCCGGAGGTAGTTGTAATTTTTGGATTGTTATTTTGAGATGACAAGTTCATTATCTTGTTGTCTCAGGATAACAAAATTGTTATCTTGAGATAACAATTTACTTATCTTGTTATCTCAAGATAACAATCCAGAAAATTATAGACACAACTCACGGCCTCTCCGGACTTCGTATCTCTGGACTTCCGTACATGTTCTCTTAAGGTAATCTTAGAAGCTCCAGGCAGCAAGATCAGCCAAACTGTCATCATTTCCAGTTCTTCTTGACCTCTCTGCTGCTTTTGCCACAAAACCACACAATTCTTCTGTCTGTCCTCGCCAACCTGGGAACCACAGGCTCCACGTGGAAGTGGTTTAAGTCCTATCAGCAGGGACACTCTTGACAGGTAACATGGAGAGGGTCCACATCCACTCCATGCAGGCTCTCCACTGGTGTCCCACAAGGCTCAGTGTTGGGTCCTCTTCTTTTTTCACTTTACACTCGTTCTCTTGGTGATGTAATAACCTCCCATGGCTTCTCTTACCACTGCTATGCTGATAACACCCAGCTTTTCTTCCCACATTCTGATACTCCAGGTTTCCAGTCGCATCTTGGCATGTCTGACTGACATCTCTTCATAGATGGCAGCTCAGCACCTGAAGCTCAATCCTAGCAAGACTGAGCTGCTATTCATCCCTGGAACTACAGGTCCTCATCATGATCTTGCTGTCTCATTTGAGAGCTCTTTGATTGTTTCATCTAAAGATGCAAGAAGTCTTGGTGTGATTCTGGATGGCCAGTTATCTTTCTCAGATCATATTGTGAACCTAACTCGGTCATGCAGGTTTCTCCTGTACAACATCCGGAGGATTCAACCCTTTCTCACACAAGAGGCTACTCAGGTGCTAGTTCAGTCTCTTGTCATTTCAAGGCTTGACTACTGCAACTCACTCTTGTCTGGTCTTCCAATGCAGGCCATCAGGCCCCCTGCGACTCATCCAGAATGCAGCAGCACTGCTTGTCTTCAATCTTCGTAAATTCACTAATGTCACTCCACTGCTGCGCTCCCTTTACTGGCTTACCTTAGCTGCACGCATCAGACTTAAAACCCTGATGCTTGTCTACAAAGCCAAAAACGGACCAGCCCCTCCCTGTCTTACAGCAATGGTCAAAATTCAAACTGTACCTCGAGCTCTTCGAGCTTCAAGTACAGCTCAGCTTGACCCGCCATCCTTCAAGTCGCGCGGAAGACAAGCATCAAGACTTTTCACTGTCCTGGCACCCAGGTGGTGGAACGAACTCCCACTGGCTGTCCAAACAGCAGAGTCTCTTGTGGTTTTCAAACGCAGACTGAAGACACATCTCTTTATATAGCACTTACGTAAGCAATGATTTAAGTACTTCTTGAAAGGTATTATACTGCACTATGTTTAATTCTGTTTCTTTTTCTCTATCTGAGCTCAGGACTACTTTAACCTATTTATAAGTAGCTAAAATACTTTCCCTGAGTGGTCAACAAAGTACTTTTGTAAGTTGCTCTGGATACGAGTGTCTGCTAAATGCTGTAAATGTAAATATATGTAAATGTTGGCACATTTAAATATATTTAGTGTACATATACATTTACACATTTATATATATATTATATTATATATATATATATATTATATATATATATATATATGGGTGGCCTTCTACATATACCTTCTGTAAAATACAGAAAACATGGAGAGGCCTCTTTCAGTTATTATGCTTCTAACTGTGGAACTCAATTCCACCTTTTATTAGACGGTCAAGCTCAGTGCTCACTTTTAAGAAGCATCTAAAAACGTATCTCTTTATCTCAGCATTTAATTAAAACTCTACGTCTCATGGTTTTTATCTTCAAATTTGATCTTTCATTTTCTTCTAATTCTAAATAAATGCTTATGATTTCTTGTATAACTATGTTTTATCACCTGTCTGTAAAGCACTTTGATTTTTTGAATTATTTTTTGAATTATTATTATTATTATTATTATTAATTATATACACACACACAGGCACATACACACACATACATGCATACATATATATATATATATATATACATACACATGTGGGTGTGTAAATATAATGTGCGTGTGGTGTGTGTGTGTGTATGTGTCAGCATATATGTGCATGTACCTTCCTGTGCAGAATCCAGTTCTAACCATAATCTGAGTCTCACACACACACACACACACACACACAACCTTAGTACTATTAACTAATTGTGGAGCCATTACATAGACGTCCATTAATTTTCTGGAGACTCACTCAGACCTTAACCAGAACTACTCTTGACCCTTCCCTTACCCTAACTTTACCGTTACCCTCACCTTAAAAGTTAATACTTTAAATTTTAAGGTGAGGGTAACTTGTGGTTCCCTCAAGAAAGAAAGGTCCCCACAACGTATGTATGTGAACAAGTTTTGGTTCCCAAAGTGTGGCATAAACCTAGTGCACACACACACACACCACACACACGCGCGCGCGCATATGTGTATAAAGTCTTTGAGTAAAGATTATATGATCTGAAATGAAGTAAAAGCGGGTGTGAATGAAGTGCTGAACTGTGCACAGACACAAAGAAGGAAAAACCTGTGCGCCGCCCGGGAATCGAACCCGGGTCGCAAGAATGGGAATCTTGCATGATACCACTACACCAGCGGCGCTGTTAGCGAAGGAGTCCTGACTGCTCCATACAGCGCATAGGATGCCTGCGACCTGCCCTGTTTTTAATAATTCTATCTTGTATTTCTTTCGTTTTAAAGGACGAATTTTCAAACATATTGCTTTTATTATTTTATGACACTCGTGAATTTAACCAGCCACGCGCCATAGAAACACACCCGTAACTAACAGCGTGACCACGTCCCTTAGCAACAACGTGACAACGACGACGTCATTTGAGAGCCTCCGAGGCAGCCCGAGCGCTGTATATAGATTTATTTTTAGAAAAACGTAACTTTTTTAATGCGGTTAGTTATTATTTAGTCCTTTACATACATAAGAAGTCTATAAAATAAATGTCTATAGGACTTAAACTGTTTGTATGGAAGAAAATCTTTGTTTATGAGTTTCTTTAGCGGGTAAAGTTAACATGAAAACATTAGCACCACCAGTTTACGGTATAAAGATGTACTACGTTTCAACGTGTAAGTTAGCTCGAAAAATCCCACCGAATGAGACTTTTAATAGGCATCAAATGTGAAGTCTAAACGAAGGAGGAGTCTGAACAGAGCTGTAAGTATTATTTATGGGCTTGTGTCTCTGCTGTGTTATTATTGGAATCCCTCTTCCTGCGCTAGGAGCTAAATATTGTCATGTTTTCATGATGTGGTTATAAACCTTCACCAGCCACTGTATTGCAAACGCTTAGCATAACACTTAGCATACTGGAAAGCTAGAGGCTAACTTGTAGTGCCTGTCCCCTTTCACGATTTGTGCTTTATATATATATATATATATATATATATATATATATATATATATATATATACACACAATTAAAAAAGATGGTTCTTTAAGACTACTTTTAGTAAAGGCAATGGACCTTTATAGAGCCAAAAATGGTTCTTTGCATGGTAAATGGTACTACAGATTGATGGGGAATGGTGCTATATTGCAACAAAAGGGGTTCTGCTATTGTGCTTGTAACCCTTTTTGGTGCTGTAGAACCATTTTCAAAAAAAAGGTTCTATATAGAACCATATACACCACATTTCTTTACTAAAGGATGCCATTACTGAAGAATCATTGAAGGACCATTTTTAAGTGTGTACATACATATTCATATAGAACCTATAGCCCCTACTATATCTGTGTCACTGCGAAAAACATCTGGTCAACAGGGCTGCTGTGGTCAGAAACTGACTAATGAAGAATAGGGTACAGGGCAGCTGTCATTGTGCAATGACAACAGACAGCAGGGCTACAGTCCGCGCCTGTAGATTACAATATGTAATGTAACGTAAAGGAAGGTGGAGCTCATAATGTAACCAGTGAGTGTATAAGTACAAGTTGTTGGATTTAGAGAAGGGTGACTTGATAGAAAAGTGATCTGTGACATAAACTGGTCAGCATCGTTGCAGCAATTACATGTGCAATTCCACGAGAGGCCGCACAGTGTCGCTACAGTTTAGAATTACACTAGAGCAGAGCTTGATCCGTGTGCAGTGAGGCTTTGTATGGGGTAAGAGATGACGCATCAGTAAGAAGAAGCTATAGTCTCTGACTACAGGAAGAATAAATACAAATGACTACTCTATCCATTCTGTTCCTCACGCCTGTTCACACAAATAAACCTGCATCTATGTACATGTACATCCTTGCTCTAGTGACCTTCTTAGTCAACCATAAAAGTTTACTAGAGTCTCTCACCAATATCATCGTCATCATCATCATCATCATCATCATTACTGAAATAG